CAAGAGGCAGTCTCAGATATAGGGTGTTTGTTTATTCTCATTCAATTTTATTAAGATGTAACTTGAATAAATAAAATGAATCCATTTCAAGTATCTGTGATGACAGGTTTTGAAAAATGTATATGTCCCTGTAACTACTACCCCAATCAAGATGTAGAGCAGTCAGTCACCCTAAAAAGTTATCCTCTGCCCCTTTGCATGTCAGTCTTTAGTCCTCTTTCTCTGGTCACAGACAACCACTTGTCTGCTTTTATGAGGATATAGAGTTTTTATGCTGAAATGTAAAAGTTTTAGGACATTCATAAATTTACTCAACAGACATTTATTGAGTACCTATTATATGCCAAGCATAGTGTTAGACACTGATGATAAAGTAGTGAATAAGCCAGACAAAGCCTTTGCCCTTAATGGAACATCTACAGGGGAGATGGTTAACAACACACACATATAGTTTGTGTGTGTCAGATGGTCATATTTCTCTCTCTACAGAGAAAAATAAGGCAATAAAAGGAAGTAAAGGATGTTGTGAGGTTGGGGGTGGGGATGATTCAGTATTAAGTAGATGTTCATGAAGTGTTCAGAGGAAGGTGATACTTGAGCAGATAATTGGAGGGTGTGCAAGAACAGACCATGCCTGTATCCAGCACTGAGGCAGAGGAAGCAGAAAGTGCAAAGGCCCTGAGGTGGGAGTCTACCTGGGGTGTTCAAGGAACAGCAAGAGGGCTCATGTAGCTGTAGCAGAGTGAGTCAGGAAAGAAAAACAGAAGATGAGTGCCAGGCACGGTGGCTCATGTCTATAATCCCAGCACTTTAGGACGCTGAGGCAGGCAGATCACTTGAGGTCAAGAGTTTGAGACCAGTCTGTCCAACATGGTGAAACCCATCTCTACTAAAAATACAAAAATTAGATGGACGTGGTGGCGTGCACCTGTAATCCTAGCTACTGGGGAGCCTGAGGCAGGAGAATCTCTTGAACTTGGGAGGCGGAGGTTGCAGTGAGCTGAGATTGCAACATAACATGTTGCCTGGGTAACATAATGAGAGAAAATAAAGAAAATAAAAAGAGGCCGGGCACGGTGGCTCAAGCCTGTAATCCCAGCCCTTTGGGAGGCCGAGGCGGGTGGATCACGAGGTCAAGAGATCGAGACCATCCTGGTCAACATGGTGAAACCCCGTCTCTACTAAAAATAGAAAAAATTAGCTGGGCATGGTGGCACGTGCCTGTAATCCCAGCTACTCAGGAGGCTGAGGCAGGAGAATTGCTTGAACCCAGGAAGCAAAGATTGCAGTGAGCCGAGATCGCGCCATTGCACTCCAGCCTGGGTAACAAGAGTGAAACTCCGGCCGGGCGCGGTGGCTCAAGCCTGTAATCCCAGCATTTTGGGAGGCCGAGGTGGGTGGATCACGAGGTCAAGAGATCGAGACCATCCCAGTCAACATGGTGAAACCCCGCCTCTACTAAAAATACAAAAAATTTAGCTGGGCATGGTGGCACGTGCCTGTAATCCCAGCTACTCAGGAGGCTGAGGCAGGAGAATTGCCTGAACCCAGGAGGCGGAGGTTGCGGTGAGCCGAGATCGTGCCATTGCACTCCAGCCCGGGTAACAAGAGCAAAACTCCGTCTCAAAAAAAAAAAAAAAAAGAATGAAACTCCATCTCAAAAAAATAAAAAAAGAAAGAAAGAAAGAAAATAAAAAACATAAAGGAAGAAAATAAAAAGAAGATGAGGTCAGAGTGAAATGGGGAGGCCAAATCATTTAAGGACTCACAGACCATTGTAGGGAATTTGGCTTCTACTTGAAATGAAATGAGAAACTGTTGAAAGGTGTTGAACAGGGGAGGAATATAACTTAGGTTTTGAAAGGCTCATTCTGGCTCCTATTTTGAGAATTATACTGTAGAAAGGCAAGATTGAAAGCCACGGACCAGTTGGGAGCTATTGTGATAATACAGACAAGAGACATGGATAACTGTTGTAACTGTATACTGTTGTAATGCTGGAGTTGATGAGAAGTTACTAGATTTCAGATGAATTTTAAAGGAAAAGCTGCCTAGATTTGCTGATGGATTAGATATGGATTTAAAAAGAAAGGACTCAAGGATGCGTCCAAGGTTTTTGGCTTAAGCAACTAAAAAGGTAGAGTCGCCATGACTGAGATAGGGCAGACTATGGGTGGGTATGAGGGAAGAGTTTTTTGTTTTGTTTTTTTGTAGATGTATTCTCTCTCTGTTGCCCAGGCTGGGGTGCAGTGGTGCAATCTCGGTTCAATGCAACCTCCACCTCCCAGGTTCAAGCGATTCTTTTGCCTCAGCTTCCCAAGTAACTGGGATTACAGGCGCCTGCCACCACACCTTGGCTAATTTTTTTTGTATTTGTAATAGAGTTGGGGTTTCACCATGTTGGCCAGGCTGGTCCTGAACTCCTGACCTCAGGTGATCTGCCCACCTCAGCCTCCCGAAGTGCTGGGATTACAGGCATGAACCACTGTGCCTGGCGGAAGAGAAGATTTTGTCCGTATTTATTTTCAGGTGCTACTGGACATCTAAGTGGAGAGGTAAAGTAGGCTGTTGGATATATGGACCTGAAGTTCAGAGGTCAGATGTGGGCTATGAAGAACTTGTAAAGGAGGTCATGAAATTAGATGAGATTACTTTAGAGAGTAAATGTAGATAATGAAGAGACGAGATTTGGGGACTAAGCCATGGACACTTCACTTCAAGGTTTAGGGGTCAGAGAGATGAAGAGGAACCAGCAAAGGAGACTGAGAACAAGTGGCCATTGAGGTAGGAGGAGAATTAGAAAAGTGTAGGGTCCTGGAAACCAAGTGAAGAAAGTTTCTCAAAGAGGGGAGGGAGTGATGGGGTCAAAGAAGATAGGATCTGAGATTACTGGACTTAGCAACATAATTTATTGATCGATTAATCTGTCTCCATGGCTAGACAGAGATTGATGGGCTTTGGGGTTCAAATCCCTGTTCTGTCACTTTGGGTAGGTCAGCCTGGGTCCTCTGAGAAGCAGATGCCAGGATGGAATTAGATGTGCAGGAGATCTCTGTGAAAGATAAAGGGAAGAGGGAGCAGGAGTAGACAGAGTGTAAATGTGATACTGGTGGAGAAAGGGAAGGAAGAGGGCTGTGGGAAGGAGACTCACACTGCAGTGCAGCCAGGCTGATGGGGCATTCCTGAGCGAAGGGACCTCTCTGTGCATGGTTATTGACTGGGAGAAGCGCAGTGGATGTGGCCTTGATGTGATCTCAGCATGAATGTCACAGTGGATCCGAAGGTGTGGGGGCTGGAAGCTGTCAGGCCTCTGGTGTCCCTCAGAGCAGGTTCTTCCTGGAGAGTGATCTGAGCAACATACCTTCATGCCTACTACGGTGAACTTGGACAAGTTGCCTAATTTTTTGAAGCTTCAGCCTCCTTTTCTTTAAAATGGAAATCGTATCTACGGTTTTGAGGAGTAATTGCGTATGACATGTGAGGCTCATAGTGTGAGGCCTGGCATATCAAAGGTACTTTTAATTCCTTTATCTCTTCAAGTATTTGTTATTGTCTAATCTTCCTGGTTAAGGAGTTCTTGGAAATATCCTTTTCCTGATTATTTGGGAGTAAAACCAATAAATAATGTTTTATTTCTGTTGGCTGATTTCTCTTTTAGTCCTTAATGCCCTTCTTCCTTCTCTTCCTCTCTAACGCCTTTCCTGAAGCCCCATGTTCCTTTTTTTTCCCCATCTTTTCCTCCATTTTTACAGACGGGAGGAGTTGATTCATTATGTTGGAAGTATCTTGGAGTTTAAGTTGCTCAGGCATACTGCAGTTTGCTTGTTAATAAGCACGTGGTTTGTTCTTTGAATATGAGTTAAGTGTGAACAAGACCTCCTGTAAGGTACATCCCAAATAAGAAAATCTAGTGACCGGCCGGGTGCGGTGGCTCATGCCTGTAATCCCAGCACCTTGGGAGGCCGAGGCAGGTTGATCACGAGGTCAAGAGATTGAGACCATCCTGGTCAACATGGTGAAACCCTGTCTCTACTAAAAATACAAAAAATTAGCTGGACATGGTGGCGTGTGCCTGTAATCCCAGCTACTCAGGAGGCTGAGGCAGGAGAATTGCTTGAACCCAGGAGGCGGAGGTTGCGGTGAGCCGAGATCGCGCCATTGCACTCTAGCCTGGGTAACAAGAGTGAAACTCCGTCTCAAAAAAAAAAAAAAGAAAATCTAGTGACCAGTCCTTTCTCTGGTATGATAATTTCTTTATGTTCCTGGTAAAGGCAAGAAGCCTTGGCTCTCTTCAGCACTCTCAGCCCACTGAACTGCTTCCTAAGGCTTCAAGGTCATTAGGTAGTCGCCATCGTCATTTTCCTCTGGGCGTTGTTGGAGATGATAGACCTTATGCCTAGACTAGGCTGTTTTCCCTAAGTGACTTTGTTCCAGGGTGATACGAAGGAGAATGCCTCTGAAACCAGGGAGTGTCCTGGATAACAATAAAAACGCCCTGAGTTATAGTTCCTCAGCCTAGATTCTTTGTTTCCCAGGTGTTTTGTTTCCCCCATATGCTGATGTGTAGTTTCTCCCAGGTTTCTCCAGGGAGAACCAGCTGAGTAAGTCAGGGCAGGATGGTCCCCAGGCTGAGGTCAATGCAGAGGGGTAGCTGTGTAGCTAGGGAGAACTGCACTTGACAGGAGCCAAGGTGACAGTCAGAAATTCTAACTCTAAAAACCAGGGAAAAGAGCTTTGTGCCCTTAGGCTACTTATTTCAACTCTCTGACTTTTGGTTTCCTCACCTAAAAATGGGATCATGGAATATTACTTTTGTGAAGATGTATTGGGAGAAACTCCTGTGAAGGATAGAGGGGAGAAGGGAACAGGAGTCAACAGGGAGAACCTTTAGACAGCACTGTAAGTGTGACACCAGTGAAGAAAGAAATTCAGTAAATGATAGTTAATACTACTTTTTATTTCTTTTTGTTTGTTTGTTTGTTTTTTTATATTTTTACCAGAGGGGGTGCACTGTTCCTGGAAGTACTGCAATACCAGGTCGATGCGGAGCAGACGGAGCAAGCTCCTATTCCATATCCCGGCTCCAAAAACCCACTTTAATATGTTGTCCTCGGATAGAGGACATATCAGATGTTAAACTGCTAAGAACAGATACTACACTTGATCTTAGCCAAAAGGCCAAGAAGCAATAATATTACTTTTTAAATTGTTGATATCAGGTTAGCCATTGTTACTGAGCATTCCTATGACCTTTCTGCATGGTAAATTTTTTTTTTGGGGGGGGTGGGGGACACAGTCTCTGTTGCCCATGCTGGAGTGCAGTGGCATGATCTTGGCTCACTGCAAACTCCACCTCCCAAGTTCAAGCAATTCTCCTGCCTTAGCCTCCTGAGTAGCTGATACTGCAGACATAACACCACCACAACTGGCCAGTGTGTGTGTGTGTGTGTGTGTGTGTGTGTGTGTGTTTAGTGGAGATGGGGTTTCGCCATGTTGCTCAGGCTGCTCTTGAACTCCTGGCCTCATGTGATCCACCTGCCTCAGCATCCCAAAGTGCTGGGATTACAGGCATGAGATCATGCCTGACCTTCATGGAGATTATTATAACTCTCATGGGGGAGTATTGTCTGTCTCTACTGCCATGAGGCGTGCTGCTTGTCATCAAGCTTTCTACCTAGGATACAAGTATTGTTCAATAGTGGGAATTAGATGAGCATTTGGCATTTTTGCCACCTTCATTGAAATATAATTCATCCATTGAAAGTATACAGCTCAGTGGTTTTTAGTACTAATTATTTATAGAGGTATGCAACCAGTTATAACCACAATCAATTTTAGGAAATTTTCATCATCATCCCAAAAAGACACTGCCCACTAGCAGTCACTCCTTACTTTCCCCCCAGCACCTTCTCCTAGGGATTGCTCTAGGCTACTACTAATTCACTTTTCTATCTCTGTGGGTTTTCCAGTTCTGAGCGTTTTCTGTAAATGGAGTCATACAATATGTGGTCTTTTGTGACTGGCTTCTTTCTGTTTCCATAAGGTTTTCAAAGTTCTTTCACACTGTAGCCTGCATCAGTATTTTATTTGCAAATAATATTCTATTATATGGCTATACCACATTTTATATATCATTTCCTCAGTTGATGGACATTTGGGTTTTTTCTACTTTGGGACTGTTAAATGAATACCGTTGCCATCAGCATTATTGTACAAGTTTTTTATGTGAACATACTTTTAATTCTCTTGGATATAAACCTAGGAGTGGTTTATTGCCAGTTAATTGCTGGGTCATATGGTAACTCTATGTTTAACTTTTTGAGGAACTTCCAGACTTTTCCACAAGGACTCCACATTTTACATTCCCACCAGCAGTATATGAGGGTTTCAGTTTCTCCATTCCTTTACCAATACTTGTTATGATTATCATTGTAGAGGGTGTGGAATGGTATCTTATGGCTTTGATTTGCATTTTCCTGATGACCGATGGTGCTGAGCATCTTTTCATGTGCTTATTGGCCATTTGTATATCTTCTTTAGAAAAATGTCTGTTTAGGCTCGGTGGCTCACGCCTGTAGTCCCAGCACTTTGGGAGGCCGAGGTGGGCGGATCACAAGGTCAGGAGTTCGAGACCAGACTGGCCTATAATGGTGAAACCCCATCTCTATTTAAAAAAAAAAAAAAGAAAAATGTCTATTCATGTCCTTTGCCCGTTTTTTAATTGGGTTGTTTGTTCTTGTGTTACAAGATTTCCTTATATATTCTGGATATTAGACTTTTATCAACTATATGGCTTTCTTTTTTTGTAATTGCAAAAATAACATACCTTTATCACAAAAATTCAAATCCTATAGAAATATAAAGAAAAGTTCATTTATTGTTCCCCAATTGTTCTTCCCAGAAGTAACCATTTTTAGTATATCCTTCCAGATTTCAAAAGATAAATATGCAAACCTAAATAAATATAGTATATATGTGTATATATTTAGTTTACATAAGTGGATTAAATGTCTACAGTACCACAATTTGCTTTTTTTCACCGCTTTGACTTAATATCTTATGTATTTTTTAATTTTTTTTTTTTGAGACTTTGTCACTCAGACTAGAGTACAGTGGCACAATCACTGCACCCCTGACCTCCTGGGCTTAAGCCACCCTCCCACTCAGCCTCCTGAGTAGCTGGGACAACAGGCACGAGCCACCAAGCCTGGCTGACTTTTAAATTTTTCGTACAAATGAGGTCCCACAGTGTTGTCCAGGCTGCTCTTGAGCTCCTGGGCTCAAGCAGTCCTTGCCTCGGCCTCTGAAAGTTGTGTACATATTTTCATGGTGATCACATTGTCCTTTTGGCTGCCTAGAAGTGCCCTTTTGAGATGGATTTAATACAGATGAGGAAACTGGGGATCAGAAAGTTTAAGCAACTTGCTCATGGTCACAGATTAGTAAGTGAGGGAGTTGTTATTCAAACTTGAATCTGTCTGTTTCCAAAGCTGGGGCTCTTGCCATGTTATCACATTTGTTCCTTGGGCTGCTGACATGAAGCCTACTTCCTTTCAGACCTGTGGCCAGCCTGTGCTAGCTATCTTGTTACAGAGTAGTGTCTGTAGTTTGCACACTCCAGGAAACCTGGTAAGACCCTTTCACTCACACACACACCCTTTAGGGATCTTGGAAAAAACTCTAGGGATTTTCACACACACACACACACACACACACACACACACACACACACACACCCCGCCTTTAGGGATCTTGGAAAAAACCCTCAAAGGTAAATGCCTGATGACCTGACTTGGGCTGGGGCAGCCACAGACTGCATTTGAGCAACTGCAGCTGCTTTTTTAGCCCTTTTATTCCCACTGCCTGCTTGCCATTGCTGTTTTCCCTAGTTTTTCCAGTACATTGTTTTTTCCTACTTTCCAGGCCTAGGTAAGCCTTCATGCAGTTTTTAGACACCCACCTGGCCTGTGGCTTTTTAGTGCGTATTGCTATTGCAGGTCCCAAGTGTGTGGAATGGGACTCCTTCCCAGTGCTGATGTACCGATTGAAACACACAAGGACGTTCAGTCAAGAATTGAGACTGGAGGATGGGCTGAAGAGACAGTTGCCACCAACACTTATGCAAAAATTGTACACAAAAGGACAGGCTCTTCCTGTCCCTGCCCCTCCTCTCTTCTCTGCGCCTTGTATCATGCACCTGTTTATGATACCTAGCAGTGACTACCATAGATCAGATCACTATTCCATTGCATTCCCCCATATATTCCCTCTCTTCTTTCTTCCTACTGCTCTTGGATGTGTAGGTGAGTAACATGAATTATATATCTAAGCCAGTATTAATGTAAGAGTAGTACTATTATTACCACCACTGCTAAGAATAGTTGCTAGATTTGTCTAGCTCCAGCAAGGGAGGAAATATAGCAGAAGGCCTGAAATTCAGGAGTCAGGCTACACTGGGCTTAATTCCCATGTCTGCCAGGACCTTGTGTGACCTTGGGCAGGTTACTTGATCCATCTGAACCCTCACTTCCCCAGTTTTTTTTTTTTTTTTTTTCCAGGCAAGGTCTTGTTTGGTTACCCAGTCTGGGGTGTGGTGGTGTGATCATAGCTCACTGCCACCTTGAATTCCTGGGTTCAAGGATCTTCTGGCCTCAGCCTTACAAGTAGCTGGGAATACAGGCATGCCCCACCATGCCCAGCTAATTTTTTTAAAAAATTTTCATAGCTTAGCACTGTGACTCAAGCCTGTAATCCCAGCACTTTGGGATGCTGAGGCAGGTGGATTACCAGAGGTCAGCAGTTCAAGAGTAGTCTGGCCAACAGGGCAAAACCTCGTCTCTATTAAAAATACAAAAATTAGCCAGGTATGATGGCACGTGCCTGTTGTCTCAGCTACTCAGGAGGCTGAGGCAGGATAATCACTTGAACCTGGGAGGCAGAGGTTGCAGTGAGCCAAGATCATGCCACTGCACTCCAGCCTGGGAGACAAAATGAGCCGCCATCTCAAAAAAAAAACAAAAAGAACCCAAAATTTTTGTAGAGATATGGTCTCGTCATGTTACCCAGGCTGTCCACTTTCTAATCTGTAAAATTCAGGTAATAAAACCACTAATGCCATAGGAATGTTACGAAGATTTACTGAGCTGATGCATGGAGAGTGCATCAGCTCAGAGCTTGACACATGGAAATGGCTCTGCACAGTTAGTTACCATTATTATTAGTACTGAAGGGGAGCAGATGACACTGGGGTCAGATGACTGGGCAAATGTAAGTGGGCCTTACTTACATGGTCTCTTATCTCCTTCTCTTGCTTTATTTTCTTCATATGCTATGTGTTGTTTTATCTACTTACTTGTTTACTGTGTCTCTCTTTCACTAGAATGTGAGTGCTTTGAGAGGAAAGAGGAAGAGCTTTGTCAATTTTGTTCATTGCTGTATTCCTAGGCCCTCAAACAGGGCCTAGCATGTAGTAAGTATGCAATACAGCTAGTGCTCAACTTACGACCACGACTGGTTCCGACAGACCAGTCTTAACACGATTTGGTCGTAAGTTGAGTTTGCTGTACCGAGTCTGGGATAACAGTTGAATTGGTGCACGCGGAGATGGTAGTGTTGCCAGAAGCTGGTCCGCACTGTCGTACGCCCAGCTGGGCAACGTTTGCGCTGCCAGACGCGGAGTAGTCGTGGCTAGCGATTGTGGTTGTAAAGTCGAATGGTCTTAAGTTGCATAGGTTGTAAGTCGATCAATACCTGTAATGTAATCATTGTTTCTGGAACATTGTGCCAACTGCTGTTCCAGGTGCCATTTATGTATTAGCTAATATATTCATAAAAACCTTTTGAGTATGTTATCTCTATCTTACAAGTGAAGTAACTAAGTCACAGAGGAATGGGATTTTTTTGTGCCCAGTGTCACACAGCTAATAAGTGAAACAACAGGCAATCTTTCTCCAGAGCCTGGGCTTGGAGCCACTATGCTGTGTTCTCCCCCAGTAGGAAACATCACAATTACTTTTATTAATGATATTACTGATAGCTTCAAATAGTTTATTGCCTATATATGCAAAGTTATTTAGCCATCTTCTCTCATTTGCTCATAACACTGTGGAAAAATCCTTATGGCCTCCCCTACTCCCCTGCACTTGACAGTTGAGGAAATAACGGGTAATGCTTATTGAGTACATCCCATG